TTAAAAAAAAAAAGTGTAATGTTCTCGGGCTTCCGGTTTGAGGTGCCAAGCGATAGAAGCGGCTTATCCGCAGGTTGTACAGGCGTATTTACAGTTGACGGGCCCAAAAAGAGGCTTCTCTTTGGGAGCCCTGATAATCACGGTTACAGCATTTGGGGCATGCGGGGCGACCCCTGTTTTGAGATTTTCCGTGTGGGCTAAGCAAGGCAACTGTCTGACTGGCTTCAGAATAGGAGCCCGCGACAGGAAGCCTTTGAAGCTCTTGGCGGATAGTGAAGTACAGCTGTAACAAGCGTAGTAATCGTACCACTGCCGAGAATGATAGTAGTGAGAATTATGGTGTTCTTTGCAGCTTTTGCTTCAGGCAATGCACCTGCCACCCATTTGCTGAGCTGCTCAATGGCGACTTCCTTTTCATCTGATAGGCCCGTGACCGCATCCACAAAGGCGTAGGTGTGGATGATTCCAGGGATGCCCTCCTGTGGAATTTGCTCACCATCGGGAAGTCGGACAAGAAGCTTTCCCACAGCCGCATGGCCTTCACTGACGCGTGGCACATGCTGCGGCGGCGGTATTCTCCACGTGGGAACAGTATGAGCCAGTGTCCGGAAGAGCAGTGCCTCCGCTTGATCTTCAAGACCCCGGGTGTACAGCAACAAGTAGCTTCGATCACTGGCCAAGGGCTTCGGCGGTACCAGGCGCTGCAGACCAGTAGTGAGACAGCAAAGCTGCAGGTGTCTAACCTGAACTATGACAAGCCAATTTCTGCAGCTTCATTTCTTTCCTTCCGACAAGAAAGCATCAGAACTAGCTGTTAGAAGAGATAAGTTGCCAGCCCTGGTAGGAGCGGCAGCACTGCAAATCCAAACAGGCATCGCAGCTTCCGCTCACGTAGGTATCGATGCGCCAGAAGCATGGATCGCGGATCCTATCCTTAAGGCTCTCGATAGCTTTCCTGGGATACAATTTATGGACTTTAGGATCCAAGATAAACATTACCATGCTGACTATTATTGCCAGTTCTACTAAAATTTTGTTGCTTAAATCTGTCTCTGCAGTTGTTGGTACGATCACTGCCAATATTACTAATAGACTCAGGAGGCCCAGGGTATGCGGATACTGTTCACAGGCGTGATCAGTTGAGCAGATCGAGCCACGGTCGATACCATCAAGACCCCGCATCCCCTTGAAGGGGGTTATAGGGATTAGCTATAGGGGTTGTGCGGATTACATAGGGTATGGGGATTATCTAGAGTTTAGGGACATTACTCGCCCCAACAATGGCAAATCAAAAGGAAAAGACCATGGACAATCAAATGGGGACTGGGGATGTATAAGGGCGTAGGGCGTCCATAAAGGTGCAATAAGGATAGTAACGCCCCTGGTTTTAGTCAGGTGGATTATCCTGCAGTTGCTGCTACCGATTTCCAAGGCTCTACTCATGCTCCATGTCTTTCTGCTGGCTCATTAGCGAAGCCATGAAGTCTGAGTCTGCTGGGGTTTCTTGAACTGGCATTTGCCATGTCAAACGTGTTGCAGCGCAACACACAGGAAAGCTGATAGCCTGTGAAAGCAAATGGCCTCAAACCGCCGAAAATCCTGAGGTGCATGTGAAGGATCCTGGAACAACGTTTGGCTACTCTGAATGTACAATGAAATCATCTCTCAATGGGCTCCTGCCAGTTGGATCTACCCCCGGGGCTATGTCGAATTGCAACCAAGACGTCCTGCTCATGTCCTTGCATCCCAAACAAATGTGGTCGGCGAAGCAAGAGCCCCGCGACCCCTTTGGGTACGCAGGGTTGCGAATCAAGCTAGCCACTACTTCTTCAGATGTGCCCTGTGGTACGAAGCAACTGCAACAATGCCTGTAGGCTTAGCCATGTGAGGACCAGGGATAAGGGCAAGGGTGGAAATCAGGACTCCGTCTGTGCCAAGCATTCGTCAAGTCATCACTCCTTAGCCAAGATGGCCCACCACTGTGGGCCCCATCCAACTCTCCCTGACAGGGGCCGGACTAGCTTTCATAATGGCATTAGGATGCACCCATCTGTGTAGGGACGTGCATCTGCAGAAAAACCAACATCACTTCTAGCTGACTTTGATGTTGCTTCTTCCTGGGCTCGCCGGTGAGACAAAGCTGTTGGCTGTCAATGGGTGCACGCGCACCTCCTAAGAAAAACGCTACACAAATTGCACAAGTCACGCAGCAAGCGCTCTGGTCTGAACTGCTATGAAGTGATTCGTTTTTTTGCTTTTTTTTTAGCACACTGCAACAAATCAACCTGAAATTTGTCAAAGTAAATGTCTACATTGGAAACTTATAACCTGAATCGGCCTGCAACCTTAATCCTACTGACCCGGAAGTCTGCCTACTCTACTACCAGAGGTGTGCATCTGTGTAGCCGGGATCCCAGGGTCCCGCGACCAGACCCCAATGGTCTCCCATCATATGTGGCAGCTCGCCCTGGCAGTTGGATAGTTAGTTATGTCTATTTACTATGCCCCCGCAACTTGCACTCTTGTAAGGCAACACACACGCACACACTCACTCACCCTCCCCTCGATCAGGACCTATCAAGGACAGTTAGGGGTGTCCAGAGGACTGCTCATGCTTTGTTCTGTCCCAGCAAAGCCTCCCATGACAGGTTTGGACTGCGCTGACTCCGGGCCTATGAAATTCAAGGCCACCACCATAGCTTACCGTGATTCGCGCGTTGTTGCATCCCTGCTTACCATGAAGATGCCCATGCTTGTAATCTATTACAGTCTTCTGCAATTCCTTGTTTAGCTGTGAATTTCTGTGCCAAGCAGTTTCCCAAAGTCGCGAGAGGGCTGCGTGGAGAGTCATCAAAGATATACCATGCTAGAGGGAACGTATGGAGCTTTGCACATTGGCACTCGCCTTGTCTGGCTTCAGGGTAGAAGCGCCTTCAGCTTTAAACGCAAGAGGGTAGATAGGTACTGTCTGTGTAGGGATGGCTGGCACGTTTGGGAACTGATCTTGCGGAAGTGAATCGAAGCACCCTCAAAAAATAGAGGAGTAAATCCCGTCAAGAATTCGGGAAGCACTAAATGGCAGGTGCAGGCCTGAAGGTACCCACGAATTATTCGAACCGTACAGATAAACATGATGACGCAAGGGGGGCGCAAAAGGAGAGCCTTGAGGGACAGCAAGGCCATGCATAACTGTGTAAGTTACTGCACGCATGTCGGACAAGTCATGACAGTCCCCAGCAAGCGCTTGACTACAGGGATCGAAACGGGGCGGTGGCACCATGCGCACCATCATGGCAAGCTCCTGCCAGTCTTCCAGGTATCGGGCGTTACTGCTCAGTGGTGTTTTGCTTGGCTCCTGCATCTGGTGCGCACTACTTGCTTGCGTTTGCTGATGTGGAGGTTTGTGTAAAATGAGAGTCATGGCACGAAGATCAGGAAACGCCCCAGGATTGTTGGTCTCTTGATTCTCGCAACCAGTACTCTACCACCCCGATCTAGCACCACAAGCAGAAGCTTCAAGTACAGCATGCGAAGCTGACCTGTTTCTAGGCCAGAGTTTGGGAGCTAGTCAGGGTCCAAGTTGCATCAACCATCCCATACACACCATGCAGATTTGAACGTCTCTTGGCTGGTTAGATGGTTAGCCTTTGCTTGCAGGCCACTGTACCTTTCATGCTTAGGTGAAGGATTCCTGAGGCACATCCTGTGCTGAAAAGGTGACAGCAGCAAGTACCCTTGGCCCCTGAGGTCCTCAGAAGTGGGTGTCCAGTAGTTCCGGTCGTGCTCGTCGTCGGATTGCGGGTCCTGCCATACACGTTGGGTGGCCAGGGTTGCCATTGCAGGTCGTAGTTCAAAATCATCCGAATGTTTCGTGCCATTGTTCGGGGTCCTGGCCCTCTGCTGAAGCTTGTAGGCAATGCAAACAAGCGAAGAATCAAAGAGATCAGGCACACTTTGTTAGCGACTTGAGATGTGTGAGCAGCAGGATGGCCCAGCTTCCAAGGAGCCACAAAAGTTCTAGGACGAGATAAAAATCGGTGTGGTGTGCAGGAGGGATCACTATGGAAGCTTCCCAACAGATCAGCATGTATTTGTATGATCCAGCCGAAATTGATGCCAGGCAGCAATTAAACCAATATCATCAGACAATGATGGCGTCAGGTTGTGGCCGCGATGTTACCGTCTTTCTGAAGTAGATGGAACATGCAAAATCGGAACGCGCGTTACATGCATCATCTATCTCCTGCACTATCCCCCGCGTAGCCCCAGAGATGCGCATCCTTTTGTTTCCTGACAGCTGCTCCTCATAGCTGGTGAAACCAATGGGTGCTTCCAAAAAACGGGGATTACTCCCATATACCCTCAAAGACTAACAGGCTTGATAATTGAAAGAACCGCTCGAAAAAGGGACCCCTCATTTCTGGAAACTCCGAACTCTTGAAGACAAGCCTTGGGCCTGCTTCGCTAAAGCTATGCACCCGTTTGCTTACGGGTTGTTCGCAGGGAACAAGAGAGTATATTCTGTGCGGCTTATATACTGTAGGGATTATATTCCCTCAGTCCCTATACTAACCAGGCGTACATAAGTTTGTTGCGCCACGAACCCAAAACTATCCTGAACCGATCCTGAACACAAAACTCTTCTGCCCGCCCTTCAGGAGATGCCACTCGTTCTCATTACTTATGGAGCCTCTACAGTAGAGGCCAGAAAGATAGGGCATTACCTCAAGAACTAGTAAAGAGGTAAAAGCAGCACAAGATAATACCCTGCTTCACCTTCCCCAGCTTTTGCCGCTTAGCCTACCGGTCCAAGCACTCCATAACCATTTACGTACTTCCCCCGAAACTACACTACAATAACTGATGCAAAACCCCAAGTCCCATTTATAGGGTGCATGAACCCTCCCTGAAGTAGCCTCCACCCTAAAACCTAGACCATGCAGCTTAACATACCCCCTAAACCCTAAACCCCTAAAACCTAAACAAAACCCGAAATAAACATACCCCCGCCAATTGGCCCTCACGAAGTGCCCGGCACGTCGTCTTCGCAGTCCGAGGCCACAGGGCTCGGATCCGGCGGTGCCGTGCCGGACCTGGCTATACTGTAGTGGCATAAATGTATGGAGTTTAGGGTTTAGGGCTTAGGGATATTATATACTGTGGTGGCATACATTTAAACGGGATCTTCGGGATTTAGGATTTAGGGCTTCTGGGGATGTTATATGCTGTAGTGGCCTAAACGGGATCTTCAGGATTTAGAGTTGGGGATGTAGCGCTTAGGGTCCAAGACCCTCCCAATACCGCTAATTGGGGATAGGCCCTACTGGCGGGTCTGGGTCTCAGGGTATACCATGCCCGGTCATGAACCCTACACCCTAAACCCTAAACCCTAAACCCTAGGGTTTAGGTTTTAGCATAGGATTATACAGGGGTAATGGAAAAGAGAATGGGGATCCTAGGAGGGTCTCACGGATATACGGACTTGGGCAGGTGGTCTAGAACCCAATATATATATATATGTCCCCTTGAGAGCATGACATAGGATTGTGTAGGGTAAGGGTTATATGAGGATTATGCAGGTTCTTGTGGGGTGTATTAACCCCAACAGCGCACGACACGAGATAGAATTGTATAGGCATAGGGGTAATGAAAAAGACATTGGAGACTGATATTTGAGGTTTCGGGTTCAGCGTCGCTGTAAGAGTGGAGTTTGCACAGGGATGAGAATGTGATGTTATGGGCC